TATATATATATATATATATATATATATATCGATCGAGCGAAAGATCGAATCGAATCCCCAATCTAAATGTATCGACGACAAAAACATCGAAAAATTAAAATCGAGAAGTAAGAACGATATATAACACAGGTTTCGCTTTTAGAAAAAAAAAATTTTTTTTTTTTACTATCACAATTAAATCGACGTTTAATTTTTTAATCAAGTTTTGGAGGTAACGGACATAAATGTAGTCAAAGTGATTCGTTTTTTGCATCACGCACCTTTTTATTCTACTCGATGATGCAGTTTATGAAAAAATTCAAGAATAAGTGACTTATACACACGCGGATGATATTAATTTGTACCTGTATGAGAAAATAATCGGAAAGGCACGATACTCGAGGCGATCTCAATCAAAGGCACGTATAATTGATAGACGATGGTGCAGACAAGAGTCTCCTAGCAATGAGTAAGCACTGCAATTTGTCTCTCAATTTTTATTCAACACACTGTATAACCGAGCAGTTCAATACGTGTACAGCGTGGATCAAATCCCAAGCACGTAATCGTATAAATGAATAGTGAAAAAGATTGATTAAATTTTAACATGTACAAGAAAAGAAAGTAATTTGAAATAATTCATAATAAAATTTTTGGTTATAAGACAAATATATCGAAGAAATAGGTTTAATAGGTAAGAAATTTCGTACGAGACTTATCATGAGACACACGATCGAACATTAGAATAAGAATGGTACAAATTAATAATCGCGATTATTTATATATTTCTTTTTCTTTTTTATATATATATTATAGATCGATATTTTATCGTTCGGTGCGTGCGATTTGATTCGTACTGCATGAAAGTTCGCGAAACGCTGCAACGCAGTACAATCGATAGTCATAATCGAGATTCAGGGAGGCCAATGTGCGTTTCGATCAATCGTCGTTTTGCGATTCGAATCGTCCAGAGCTCGCGTTGAATTGAATAGATCGTAAAACGTTAAGCCTTATAGTTTACAACGCAATCTATAATTAATAACGATTCTTTCAAAAAGAAAGATAGAAAAATAGACGTGTCTCTAAATACAATACAATAATATCTCTTGGCGCGTTTGGAGATCGTTTTCTTTCTTTCTCGTGGAAAACGATATTCTTTCGTTGCCATAATTTAAACGTAATTCGGAGCGAAAGCAAATTCGAAACGTTTAGACGGTTGAAATAAAATCGATCTGTTGACACGATAAAAAAAAAAAAAAAAAAAGGAAAAAAAAAGAATTCAAACGAAATTGTTCGATTTTTCTTATTTAAAAAAATAAAACATTGGAACGATCCACACTATTGTCTGTTTTTGTCTCGTTCTACGTGTCGCTATATGGATATTTGGTCGAAGGATCGAAAGGTTAGCGATTAATTCTTATCTGGTAAGTAATTAGTATTAGTAGTTATTTAAATATTAAAGATTTTTTTTTCACCCGGAGTTCAAGTCACCGCGTCCCATCGCAGAAATGAAAAGAAACGAAAGTGAAAAGATTTTCATTGTGATTAATGAAATTGTTCATGGTAACGATGGATCGATTCGTGCGTAAATGGAATAAGTGATAAGTAGTTTGGAAGTGGATAAGAAACGAAAACCAATCGAAATATAAAATATAATAAATTAAATTGTAAATTGTTAAAACAAAATTAGACGACATAGAATAGTCGGTCCCGTCGTGACGCTTCCCGAAGTTGCTCGAAATTGGGTGTTTGATTCGCGTTAATCATTTTTTTTTTCTTTTAGTTATCTACAACTAAGGGCAGTATGTACAGGGGGACAAAGGAATGTGAGATTTATCATTTCCTCCATAGCCGCTATACGACAGGCCAGCAGTATAATCTATTCGATATAAATATCCTCTATCGGGAAAGCAGTCTCGATGAACTTCGTGTAGAACCGATGAAAAGCACGCCTATGAAAAGAAAAAGAAAGAAATATTGTACATTTAAATATATACAAATCAATCCTTCTAATAATCGTTTCGTAAGTTCGATCATTTGATTCGTTTTAAAACGTGATTTATATAATATAGATATAACTTTCGATGAGCAAAGAAATTTAAATTGCGCAATCTTTAGATAAGATCAGAGATAAATAGAGAAAAACAAATATAATTTCAATCCGATTAATTTTCAGAGAAATTAAACGAAATAATGTATTATGATGAAGACATAATAATAATAAGAAAAAATAAAATGATATACATACCCGACAGCTTCGGCAACGGGCCTCGTGGATTCTTGGCCGATGAACACGTGGCAAGCGAACCTTTGCAAGGTAGGATGCTTCGTGATGAAGCCGAGGTAGCGATGATCGCGAGGATGAAAGGCGCAAAATGAGACATTCTTAAGCGAGTAGAAATAGTCATGGCAAGGTCCTTGATTTTTACTAAAAAAAAAAAAAAAGGAAAAAATAGAACGTATCATTGAATTAATATTCAAACTCTATAGTTTGCAAGAGATTATTATATTATATTTCGTATACTTTTGTTTATTATAATTTAATTGAATCGATTATCTTCAATTACCCGTGGTTTACTTCTATCGACCATTCGAAGACCTTGATCGGATACTTCCAAGATACAACTTTGCGAAACGGGTGACTCTTGTGAATTTCCAACGATTCTTCGAACCGCTTGACAAACAACACCAGTACCTTTGTGTGCCAACGTCTCTACGGAACCCAAATAACCTAAAAGGTATCGTTCCCTTTTCACTTTTGGCGCCGATGGATCAAAATCACTGTAATCCATATCAACCGCATAAGCCGAGGGGAAGATACCTTGTCGACCTGTTCTCAGGTTCACACCTTCAATGCGAGTACGTAAACACGTAAAAAGATAGGTTATGTATTATGTATTATTTCTAGATAAAGTCTCGAAACATCGATAAAGATCGATTGATTAAGAATAATGAATGTTCGAACCTTCACACCATAGGTCGTCAGCTTCTTTTTGAACGTAAATAGGATCGCCAATTTCAAGATCGATCTCATCGTGATGTCTTGGCACGAATTTGTGCAATCCTCGATGCGTTGCCTCCAATAGTTCCAGTTGAGTAAACGGTACACCGCCGCTTCCTTCGAAGCGACACGAGAGCATTACGATGAAAATTATAATGAAAATTGTAAGTAACAATGATACTTTTATTAATTGACAAAGAAATAAAAATTTGTGATATTTTCAGTAAGCAAGTTTGCCAAAAAACGAGAAAAAGTCACCTGGTGTACTACTCGGCGAAACAGAGTCCGTATTCTGTAATGTGTTACAAGGTATCGGCGATACACTTTTTGGCCCATTTTCTGGCGAGTGAGCAGTGGAATGGCCACTGTCGGTGGCCATTCGCTCGCTATCGGGTGAGCTATCCTCATGACGAAGCCTCGAGTGACATTTTCGTAAAACTAAATGCGGTCGATTGGAATTAGAACCAGTTGCTGCGTTCAATTCGTCTGCCAGAGACGACGAGGACTGCATAGACGTTTGTCCAATAGGTAGAGCTGGAAGAAAAATGTTATATTTATTGTTATTATTCCGTCAAAACAAAATAATAAATTTGTATAATTTAATTGAAGCGACGAACGAAACGATGACTACCTTCTTCTGCAACAACAAGATGCTTGAAAGCGTGAGAACTTTATACGCTCAGATTCCGAATGTACAAGAAATCATTGCGTAATCATAACGCGTCCGATACGATATCATTGTATAACTACATAAATATAACGAATGGCAACTGCAGGTGAGTAAGTCATGATCAGATGTATGGATCTCAAACAAGTGGTATGACGTAAGTTAAATGTCATTATGGATTTTCTTTCGCTGCGGTCGTCGATTCTGCGGTTAAATATGCGGTGATTGTCGGTGATCGGTGAATCGCAATAGATGATGAGAAATGCATAACGATATGATGAAATATTGACTCGTAATATATCGTCTCACACTTGGATATATTTTTAATTTGAGGTCGCATTTTTAATCAAGGTGTTGTACGATGTAACAACCCCTTGATCTTTCCTTACTAACCTTTTTTGATAAAAGATGGCTGGAACGATTTTACTATATATGTACTATATCGTGTTGTCTATCACTCTTTCACTCGCGAGGAAAATATGAGGTAAAGAAGCTAGATCGTTTCCAACGAGCTATCACCACTTTCTACTGTCTTAATATAAATACATAACTTAGGAAGGAGTATTACTTTAGAGTTACTCGAATTTACGAATGGTAAAAGGATAATACGAAATCTAGAAGGATATATAAACATCGATATTTACAATTTAATTCTCTTACATTTTTTCGTTTTAGGAATTTCCGGTAATCTTCGACGTCTGCGCTCGGTGCTACCGCTTCCGGGACGATTCGAGGGCACGTGTTCCGGTGTCGGCCAGGAACTCAAACTCGAGCAGGAATCTCCGACGTCGCTGACTACGCTATCTCTACCACCGTTACCGGATCCGGCAGTACTACCTCCACCAGGACCCGGTCCACCGACGCCTGCTGATCGACCCCTGCTGCTCAGTCCACCGAACAAGCTAATGTCACCCAAGGGTAGTTGTGTAGTGAGCTAAGCTACCTTTCACCATGCCATTTAAAGTGTGTAGGTTGTACTTCTTTCTTTTTTCCTTTTCTTTTTTTTTTTTTTTCTTGTTGTTGCAAGTTTCCGCTAGCACTACCAAGTTATAATCAACAATTGAGAACAAGATTTGATTTGTAAAGTGTCACAGAATATAATTCGTATTTTTTCTTTTTTTAATTCGGTAAATTTGATTCGGTTGTTATGACACGTTTTCGAATTACATCTATCCATTAGATCTGTTATTATGCAATCTGTTCTCAATGTTTTAACTATAATATAAAAGGGGATTTTTACTTCTTCTGTAGATGCAAGACGTCACGCATGATACTGAAATACAACTATCCTAGCTGCAAATAAATCGACGTGCAAACTTGCCTGAACCATAATGCATTTTTATAAAAAATGCGTATCGATAGATAAATGAAAAAATATCGATAGCTTTTTTTTAGAAGAAAATACGGGAACGTTTAAAAATAATTATAACCTTCTAGATCTATGAAAGGAAATTTGAAAAATTAATTAGTTAAAACGGATACATGCAAGTTACGCAGCACAAAAAAGGTTATGCTCAAAAAAGGTTTGTAATAGATGCAAGATTAAATTTGAATTTGAATTAAATTAGATTCTCGATCAATATTAATGATACGTATGTAATTAATCGAAAAGTGAAAAATAATTCAAAAGTTCTGAACGCACTTCTGAAATAATTAGATTCACTTCGAAAATTATAATTAAAACACGAGCACACGTTCCTTCGAGCAGAAGAAATCCTCTAATTATTTCGAATAAAGTTCAAGATGGATTATTAAAATTTCAATTTGCATCGTGTGAATGATGTTATATAGGAAAAAAAAAAAAGAATTTTGATCAAATAATTCGATAATTTCTCAATATCACGATTTCAGACCATGAATACAAATTCTAATAAAATCTATCTTTGCAGGCCAAAGAAGAAGTAGGTTAACACTTACGAGGTTACCAACCTAAAGTCGCTATCAGCTACAATGGAACAATTATGATCAAGATCTTCGCTATCATCTCCAGAAGTATGTCCGCTTTGGTTGTCGTGCCGATGAATGACCACCACTTCCTCATCCTCGGAATCGACAGCGACTCCGTCGCAAGATCTCTCGACCTCCGCATCGCTATCCTGCGACGAGGTCGGCGAATCGTCTATCATCACATCGTGAACAAGCCTAATTTCAAGAATAACAATTTGGAAAATTAATTCATCGTTCAGTGCACAAAAATTGATAGAAATTTTTCAACAACGAAATCAATTACGTCGTGTTTTAACATGTTTTCCGTGAAAGCATTTTAAAAATCGAACGGATCAAAGTTAACACGTACGAATTATCATAAGATGCCTCGTCATAGTCAAGAAATAATCGAATCTTATTAACAGGTAAACAAAAATATTATCTTGATCTTGGTATATATCTTTTATATTTCAATGTTTATATAGTTAAAAAAAAAATCATTCCTTAAAAATTGAAACGACAGTTTATAAATTTGATTATTTGTTATAATCACGAGAACAAAGAATCATTTGATCGTTTGAAAATGATAAGCAATTTATTTATTGCAAATGGAAGATTGGATAATTAATGATTAAAAAGATTGGGATGAATTCATGAATCATCGTTAGGTTTTATTTGTTGAGCAAGTAATTAAGACTGACAGATAAAGTGAAAACGATTTCACATACGCGACAGACTTCAATCGATTTTATTTCGTACTGGTTTAACATACATACATACATACATTCATAAATAAGGAAAATTGTCACCTACACATTGCGTTTCCGATCGATACATATAATTTAACTAGACTAGAAAAACTATCTATTTCTAAAGTTTTTAAAATATGTGATCTAAATTATCTGTTAACGTTTTATTAAATGATCTAATTAAAATTCATTTATGGATATGATAAAATTAAGAGAAAGAGTTACTATGCAAAATAATATGCCAAATATAAAATGATGAAATAAATGAAATAACATTCGATTTAATCGAAAAAAAAAAATTAATTAAATAATAACATATATTAATTTTATAAAGTAACGAATTATTAATCAATTTGTTTGGATCCAATGATCAAAATGTTTGGAAACTATTTTATACAGAATTTATTTGATACACAGAGAGCAGCATAGACCGCACCTTGTCTTTTCGATTTAATTTCTTACTACTTTGATCGTTTCTCGAATATACGAATGGCCGAATGAAAGTGGCGCTAAACAATAAAATGCCACGATGATTTTATTAGACACACATTAAATTATTCGTCAGTTATGGAAACAAGTTGCAAAAACGCAATGATAATTTTTCACAATGATACGAAATCGTAACGTAGATTAATAAAAACGAAATCACAAGTATTACTTATACGAACTTATACTAATTCATAAGAATTAGAAATTAACTCGAACGAATTCCGTTTTCTGTTATCATAATTGCATGCATCAGTTGTGAAAATTGGCACGTTGGTTACCATATACCAAATCATGTCATCAATTAAATTCATTTCCATAACCACGTTTCTATCATTTCTGTAACGTTTCATGAACCTTTCAACCCGAAGAAAATACGGTCACCCACTACAGCAACCAGAAACCCTGTCACAACGTCGATAACGCAACCCCCATTCAAGGTGTCCCTTTACGTCAAAGGTCGCCTCAAATCGGTCATTGTACCAAAAAAACGTTCCATCTAAAAATCCATACCCCACAAACAGAATATAAAAAAAAAAAAAGAAGAAAGACATCGAAACACATATCGCCTTAATAATAAACGATGTCATCGATGCTCTCTCATTCGAACCTCTCGTCCAAAGAACATATATATATATATACTTTAAAGATCCCCCAACGAATATTCTCATTTTCAGATACGAAAAGGAAAACGGATTGCTCACGTGTAATTGGAGAGCGGTGCCTTGAGATGCTGCGGAAGTCTTTCAAAGTAATGTCGAAATTCCTCGAACTCGGTGTCGGCCATTCTGCGGCGAACCAATGAAAAACACACGGCGTGGGGTCGATCCTGAAGGCGGCCGTGACGGCCTGGAGGAGAGCTGCTCGTCGACCCCCGGAAAGCAGAGGCAAGATGTCGCTCGCGTTAGAGACGACGATGGCCGAGCACGAACGCTTCGACGCCGCTCGGTGACGTCCCCCTATTGATTCCTGCGTGGTGGGCGTCGCGCATCCGATGATTTTCCGCCGCCAGGAAATCGAACGGGAGAAGCCGACGTTGAAACGTCTCTCGCAACACACGTATACGGGTTGCCCGATTTAATATTTCAACCCGATCGTCACGACTCACCGCGCCACCTCGACGATCAAAATATTTATACAAATCTAGTTATACGATCTAGAATTTTTTCTAGAGGAGAGGGTGGCTGAGATCACTGTTCGAGAGGATGAATCGGTTCGCGGGTCTCGTGTTGATACGAGAAGCCTTTTAACGTTCCATGCTATAAATTCAGAAGAGTAGAATTTCCTTTATATACGAGTTTATCTCTCGGGGATAGAGCAATTCGAATAAACTCTCTTTTCCATTTTAATCCCGATAATAGAAATGGATATTGAAAGAGTTGTATAGAAGATGTTTGTATTACTACGAATATGTGTATATGCTTACGCTTATAAAGAATTCAGTAAAATAGAAATATATATATATATATGTATATATATGTTTCACAAAGATTTGTGTCGATTGTTTTCGATTAAGGAGATTGAAATATTAGAAATAAATAATTTCATTGTGGATAAATTATTTATAAATGTAATCTGTAATTTGTATCTTTAGATAAGTTGGATTATAATTTTTTAGATACTTTAGATCAATATAGAAATTTGGCGAATAGAGGGAAAAGCAGCAATTGATAGAGACGAGAGAATAATTAATAGCGGTCAATCGAGTTTAAAGAAGTTTTAAACAAGCTTTTACACGATTGAACTGGTGATTTTGCGTTTCTTCTTGCGAATCAAAATTTTCAATCTTTTTAAGTTATTTAATTATTTACTTATATAAAAAGCTACGAAGCAGAAGAGAAGAGCACATGATTTGCATTGGATCCGCGCCAAAATTAAATAATGCTTCGAAAATCTGCCTATAATAGAACCATTTTCAATTTATTCGATGTAAATGAGGTATTTTCTTTTTTTCCTTTCCAATTCTTAATTTTCATTCGTTCTTTTCTGCAAGTAACTTCTTTGTTCGAATCAGCTAGCCCACTTATTCGTGCTTAAGAGCACGGTCCAAAAGGATCTTTCTCTCGGCAAACAACGAATACCTATCATCTTGTCCTTATTTACTTCTTCTTCTACTTTTCTCTAATCGATTAAATCCTTTGAAAAGCTCGATTTGTATCAATACTTTAGTAAAAGAATTCAGAAGAAAGAATTGAAATTTAATTCTATTAATGAAACAAGAAGAAATGTATTATTTTTAAAACAGGTTGAATCTTCCTTTTTTTTTTTTTTTTTTTTAGTTATTAATATATTTAAAATCTAAGATAAAGATATGCATTAGAAAATTGTACACAGATAATACATAGCTCGATGACCTTTCCAAGAATATTTATATAGAAAAGAAGAGAGAACCAATATATCGACCAATTTGATGCGTGCAAATTTGCTTGAAAAAATAATAGTTATTTATTTATGAAAAAAATTATATCGAAATTTCTGAAGAGAATTTTCTTTCTATACGAATGTATCAAATTTCTATCTTATAATTCAACAATGTCTGGAACACTTTAAAGTTATTTGCAATACAATGGAGACAAATTACGAAAGTTCAACTTTGTGCTCAAAGGGTGATAAGATAGGAGATATCATATTTCGTAGAACATCTGCAAAGTGAGAAGTGAATTTCAAGATGCGGGTACAAGATTCAATAGTATTTATAAAATTATAAATATATCGTACAAAACTCTTAATATTATCGTTTAACGTAAGTTTTGACGAATAATTCTTCTCGAAAATTCGATTAAATTTATTTCTATATATTAATAAACGACATTGTAATAATTAATTTTCAATCTTTTACAGATCGAACAGCTGGTCATCTTCAGTAGAATAGTCTCTTGATCGATCGTTCGAAATTATTTATTCCCTATTTATCAATACACAAATATCTTGCATAAATATAATTGCGAAAAGCGATTTAGGGACTCGGTGATAAAACATCCTCTCGAAGCTGATCGAACGATACTCTCAATTCTCTTAATGCCAGAGGAACTCGGCTCGGTATAATTCAGCAAGGGGTGGTAGCTGATAGCGGTAAGTGATGGACATTGGTAATGTGCTGCATCTGCTTTGCCACGAGGCGAGGCGTTCGAGCTTTTATTAAACACGCTCTTTGTTCCGTGGAAAAAGAAACACGAAAGCGAGAACGATTGTCTTCCTAAAAGAAAGGAGGGGGCAGAAAAATTAAATAATCCCACCCTTCGAAAAGCACTTTCTCGTTCAAGGATATGATTTATACTTGTCAATATATTGTTCCTTCAACTTTGAATTATTAGATTATTGGATGTATATATAAATATTAATATGTTATAATACATTGCGCAACATTTTGTAAATTACACGTGTTGCGTATATTTAAGACAGGAGGTAAATTATTAATAAAATCTATGGATCTATTGATCTATAATCTAATAATTAAAAAATTTGAATTTTACAGTTTTGTAATAAACATTTTATTCGGTTCATCAATTGGCATATTTATAACACTTGTGTACAAGATTCAATAGTATTTATAAAATTATAAATATATCGTACAAAACTCTTAATATTATCGTTTAACGTAAGTTTTGACGAATAATTCTTCTCGAAAATTCGATTAAATTTATTTCTATATATTAATAAACGACATTGTAATAATTAATTTTCAATCTTTTACAGATCGAACAGCTGGTCATCTTCAGTAGAATAGTCTCTTGATCGATCGTTCGAAATTATTTATTCCCTATTTATCAATACACAAATATCTTGCATAAATATAATTGCGAAAAGCGATTTAGGGACTCGGTGATAAAACATCCTCTCGAAGCTGATCGAACGATACTCTCAATTCTCTTAATGCCAGAGGAACTCGGCTCGGTATAATTCAGCAAGGGGTGGTAGCTGATAGCGGTAAGTGATGGACATTGGTAATGTGCTGCATCTGCTTTGCCACGAGGCGAGGCGTTCGAGCTTTTATTAAACACGCTCTTTGTTCCGTGGAAAAAGAAACACGAAAGCGAGAACGATTGTCTTCCTAAAAGAAAGGAGGGGGCAGAAAAATTAAATAATCCCACCCTTCGAAAAGCACTTTCTCGTTCAAGGATATGATTTATACTTGTCAATATATTGTTCCTTCAACTTTGAATTATTAGATTATTGGATGTATATATAAATATTAATATGTTATAATACATTGCGCAACATTTTGTAAATTACACGTGTTGCGTATATTTAAGACAGGAGGTAAATTATTAATAAAATCTATGGATCTATTGATCTATAATCTAATAATTAAAAAATTTGAATTTTACAGTTTTGTAATAAACATTTTATTCGGTTCATCAATTGGCATATTTATAACACTTGTGAAATTGAAGAGGGAGAAAAGGTGTATAATAGTGGAAAAAGACAGGAGGTAAATTATTAATAAAATATATCTATTGATCCATTGATCTAATCCAATAATTAAAAAACTTGAATTTTACAGTTTTGTATCCGGATAAACATTTTATTCATAACACTTGCAAAATTGAAGAGGGAGAAAAGGTGTATAATAGTGGAAAAAGACAGGAGGTAAATTATTAATAAAATATATTGATCTATTGATCTAATCCAATAATTAAAAAATTTTATAGTTTTGTATCCGGATAAACATTTTATTCATAATACTTGCAAAATTGAAGAGGGAAAAAAGGTGTATAATAGTGGAAAAAGACAGGAGGTAAATTATTAATAAAATATATTGATCCATTGATCTAATCCAATAATTAAAAAATTTGAATTTTACAGTTTTGTATCCGGATAAACATTTTATTCATAACACTTGTGAACCTGAAGAGGAAGAAAAGGTATGCAATAATGGAAAAATAAGATATAATACAATTACATATAAAGTAATAATAATAATAATAATAAATATCACAGTGATAATTCTGGATGACGCTACGGTAACGATCTTCGTTACAATTGAATGAAAATCGTAGCGAATATTCACGAGCCATATCAAGGAATCGAAGTGTCGGATTCGTGTCTTTTCCTCGGCAGACTAATTTCACTTGGCCCAGAAATCCAAAGGAGAAACTGTTTTTCGTCGGATCAAAGAACAGGATGAATTCATTGGTGAACGAAGGAGGATAAAAAAAGAAAAAAAAAAAAAGGACCTTGCGATTTCTTCTCCTTGCATTCCACCCACAGTTTTGTGGACCCCAGTGACGTCACCGGGAATAGATTGTGGAACCGGCACGGCAGTTAAATGGGGCGAGCCAACAACGCTCCTCTCTTCCCAACCCCATGAAAAGTGTTATCCGACCAATAGGGAAACTTCGTACCACTGTGCGTCGACCAATCGCGAGCAGATCGTCATTGAGGAAGACGCGTACTCGGAGGGGACCGAGGTCTTAAGAGGAGCGGAGGATACCGGTACCGGGACACTGTTGCTCGCGGCCCTTCAACAGGCGAATCGTTCAACTTTGCCCGGTGATTTCTTCTTTTCAATCTCGTCGAGAAATCAACGTGTCAACGTGTTGTCCCGCAACTTGGAATATATAACTAGACGTACGGTTTGAAGAGATTGGAAGGATTTAAAAATTGTGTGAAAGTATTCTGTTTCTTCTTTCGAACGAGAATATATATTTCGAATATTGTTTCGAATCTATCGTCCAATTATGAGCGGTTCTGGGAAAGGTCTTCTCGGGGTGTGGTTATACAGAAGAGGCGACAATTGGGCCATTAAAGAAGGGAGCCCCATCCACAAGTCGAGTGATGTACGTTGCTTTGGTGGTGTAGGGATATTTTAATATTTTCATTCTTCTCATATTCTCTCTCGTATTTGCTCGTTATTTTAAATTGGCGCGATGTTTTTAATTATCTCGATTGATACTTTTTTTTCTCATGGACATATATCATTTTCACGAAATTGTTGTGTAAGGTCTGTATTAATATGGAGATAATAAGTTATAATAAGTAGAAAGAGGGAAGAAATGGTATAGATAGGTGGTGAGAGAGTAGAAACGTAACGCGTATGATACGTTCTTTCGTTCGTTCAGATCCCCATGGTCGAGCGCAAATCGAGCAACGACAACAAGAATTCCGTCGTATTTTCGTTGAAAAATCAAATCGGCGGTCTGGCACGAGCATTGCAAGTTTTTCAGGTACGACGTTTAACGACCATGCTGCATAATACAACGAAGCGCAAGTATATAAAATTTGATTGGAAAAGAAACGTGATGAACTTTATCCACTCATTCTTCTAAACGTAAAAGTAACGCAACAATAATCTCGTATTATTCTTTCTTCTTGTAAAACCACCTCCGCGTATGTATACTTTTTAGAAAAAAATGGAAATTGAATCAAGGTAGAAAATCGTCTTTATAAAGTTTTGAAAAATTGTATCTCGATGAAAAGTATAAAAGAATACATACATTGGAAATAAATAATGATACATTTGATACGAAGGATCTGGGTGTGAATGTGATTCACATCGAGTCGAGGAAATCCGCGCGCCGCGGCTCGGAATACGAGATCCTGGTCGACGTGGAATGCGATTCGAAGAGGATGGAACAGTTGACGAGATTGTTGAGCCGAGAAGTTGCCGCCATTAATTTAGCCCAATACGAGCAAATGGGAAATATCCCTCACGCTCCATCGCTTTCCGCAGCTCCAAGTTTTGGTAAGTCGTGCATTTTCGCTCGAACAAGATTCGCTATTAATTCTATTCACTACTCAATAACTTTTGCAATCTTTTCAACTACGAATTTAGGAAATGATTCTTTTTAATAAATGAAATTTTCTTCTCGAAGAAAGTTTCAACAAATTTATACATAAAATTAATTATTTTCGTTCGAATCGTTTGCCAGATTTCAGCGAGGTAGATATGCCATGGTTCCCACGAAAAATATCGGATCTAGATCAGGCTCAAAAAGTGCTCATGTACGGATCCGAATTGGACGCGGATCATCCCGTACGTTTTCTTTCTCAAACTGTCTTTTCGTGGTAAACACGAGACATTATTGAGATATTAGCATTGAGAACACGATGTTATTTGATCATTGAACATTTTCTTCAGGGCTTCAAGGATCCGATCTATCGGAAACGTCGTGTGCAATTTGCGGATATCGCGAACAATTACAAATAGTACGTTTTAATAATTAATAAAATTCAATGTTACGCAATGTTACGAGAAGGGAATGAAAACAGTTGCGTCAATTCTGTTTCAGCGGCCAGGCGATTCCTCGAGTTCAGTACACGCAGGAGGAGATCAAGACGTGGTCCGTCCGATTTTCGTTTCCATTTTGTTTTCCAAAGGATAATTTAAAATAGCGTAGAAGAAGCGTAGAAAAGTTGGTTTTGTCGCGAGTTTTTAAAGTTCGAGATGAGAAAAAAAAGAAGAAAGAGAAAAATCTGTTGTTACGCGAAATCTTCGTACGTGCTTGGACGAACGCGAAGCTAATCGATTCGACGAAGAGATTCTTCGATTCTTTCGATGTCTTTTTCTAGATTTTGCTGCAATTACGAAACAATATCCTAATCCAATATAACTGGGAAAAGTTTCTCTCCGTTCTCGTTTCGAGAACGCGTGAACAAGCCAAGATTGACTCGCGTTGAATACACCCCTTAATTGTCCTTATTTAATTTATCCTCCGCGATCTTCGAGGACTGACTTCTATAACTCAATTTATCCTAGTAGAGATTGAAGATGTGTCGAAGAGGATGATAGATAAATAATCTAGTTTAACGCATCCACGATAATATTCTAAAATGAAGAAAAAATCTTTGTGACAATTTTTATTTTTTATTACAATATTTACATTTAAATTAAATTTCCATCTCTTTTATCTTATACTTATAATCTTATATTTATCTGTTAGGGGTACCGTTTTCCGTGAATTGCATCACCTTTATCAGAAACACGCTTGCAACGAGTATCTCGAGAATTGGCCAAAGTTGGTGAAATATTGCGGCTACAGGTAAATAATATTTGCTCGATGTGAAATTGAATGGATATAATTGGCACGTCGTTGTTTGATCGACAGAGAGGATAACATACCGCAGTTACAAGATGTAAACGTTTTTTTGAAACGTAAGTAAACGATCATGATTGGAATTGAAGATAAAGTAAAAAAAAAAAAAAGAAAAAGAAAAGAACGCAATTACCATTTTGCAATCAGGCACTACTGGATTCCAACTTCGACCCGTGGCTGGCTACCTATCACCGAGAGACTTTCTGGCTGGCCTTGCTTTCCGAGTATTTCATTGCACTCAGTACATTCGACATTCGTCCGATCCCTTTTACACACCTGAACCGTAAGCGATTCAGAAACCTATTCATTCATCAGATAGATAGAAGTAATACAGATAAAGAAATAAATAAATAATAATTTTGAAACCGTAAAATTTTTTTATCTCTCTCTCTCTCTCTCCTTTTTAATTCTTTTCAATCGTCTACAGAGATTGCTGCCACGAATTGTTGGGTCACATGCCGCTTCTAGCGAATCCAAGTTTCGCTCAATTCTCGCAAGAACTTGGACTGGCTTCCCTCGGTGCTTCGGACGAGGATATCAATAAATTAGCAACTGTAAGTGTTTTGCATTCGTTCAACAACAACGTTCCTTAATCTCGTATCAAAAGTTTAAAACGAGATCATCCCGGGATTAAGTTAACGATTAATATCGAGTTTCGCAAAGAAATAATTTGACACTGTAATGCATTCCTTTTTTCTTTCATTTCATTTACAATTTTTTTCTTTCTTTTTTTTTTTTTTTTTTTCTTTACAGCTTTATTTCTTCACGGTGGAATTTGGATTGTGCAAACAGGATGGCATACTTCGCGTTTACGGGGCAGGTTTATTATCCTCCGTCGCGGAACTGAAACACGCTGTATCCGTCCCCGAGAAAACTTTCCGATTCGACCCGGAGGTAACTTGCAAACAAGAGTGTATCATCACTGCGTTTCAAAATGCCTATTACTATACGGACAGTTTCGAGGAGGCAAAGGAAAAAATGCGGTAATTCCGCGCATCATTGTATTGTTAAAATGAAATTCGAAACAAGAGAAGAAAAAAAAAAAAAAGAACAATGAATAAATTTCGATGCGATGAAAAATGAACGAGAAGAAACGGATATCGATTTGTTCTTTTATTTTTAGAGCATTTGCAAACCAAATACAACGACCATTTGGATTGCGGTATAATCCATACACGCAATCGGTGGAAGTGTTGACGGATGCTCAGAAAATCACGGCAGTGGTGAGCGAGCTGAGAGGTGATCTCTGTATCGTTTCGAACGCCCTCAGGAAGATACAAGAGCAGGATGATACGGTGGATATTGAGAGAATAACTAGTCTTTTAACTCAAGGAATCGAATTACCTCAAGATACCTCGTCCTCCGATAGCGATATCGATAAAAGTCCTAATATCGAGGCGCCGGAAAGATCAGTACGAAATCAGAATAATATATATTCCGATGATAATATAATCAATGCTCAAGATTAAGCAAAAATTTTGTTTCATAATTAAAATTTGATGTGCATAGTAAATTATTGTTAAAAAAAATTATTTCTCTCTTTTTCTTTCTATATATATATAGATAGATAGATAGATATAGATATGTGTATAGATCTGTCTAGAAGAAAATTATTAAAATTAGATAAATGTTTTATCGAACTAAAGGTAAATCGCATAATAGATTGTAGAAATAGATTGTTAGAATTCTTTATGCTTGACAAAAAATTATATTTAATGATATTATTAAAGTTATACATATGAAAAATAATAAAAAAATTATATAAAGTAAAATTGAACGTTATTATTATATATACCTATATTATATTTATACGTAAAGCATCAAGTTAAATAGAAAGTAATATGTAACTAATTTTTAATTAGATTTTTAGATGATTAATTAATCAGAAAGTATCGAAAGAACAATAAAATTAATTAGAATATAAGAATTCTCTCTTTAGGGAAGAAATTTTCTCGAATAGTATAGACAAGGAGAGGAAATAGCAAGAGAAGGATAGAGATAGGGTAAAAATTCGAGAATCAGCGCCATCTCTAGAGTGCCGCAAATGAAACTCAAATATAGACAAGGAGAACAAATAGTGGAGAAGGATAGAGAGAATAAGAATTGACCGTCAGCACCATCTCTCGAATAACGAAGATATTTCTTCAAAGGCTCGGTAAAAAAGGATAGGAATTGAGGTTTAACGCCATCTTTCGAACCCCTTTAAAAAGATATCACAAACATGCTTCTCAATGTACTTAAAAGATGGCGCTGACGGTCGATTCTCATCCTATCTCTATCCTTCTCTTACCATTTTCTGTCCTTTCTTTACGAGTTTCATTTGCGGCACTCTTGAGATGGCGCTGATTCCCGAATTTTTACCCTATCTCTATCCTTCTCTCACTAATTTACTCTCCTTGTCTATACTCCCTCTGTCAGAAACGATATACGTGACGTTCATTATACATACTTTCATAATGTTTCTCTTATAATGTGTTTTAATTTTCAATATGAAAAATTGTTTATTTTACAATGTGTCTTTAGAAACGATTTCACAACATATAATATACGATATATTCAGATACAACGAATACTTTAACGCTTGACGATAATGCAGCGCATTGAAATTGAAACGAATGAAAAGTTTAACCAATAGATTGGAAACAAAGAGATAAGCTTAAGAGGAAGTTTCGAGCGTTCGAAAAAAAGGAAGAAGCGATTGAACAAATTACAAATATCGTTAAAAATGTATCGTTCGAGTCGTGCGCGAACTATAAAAATTCTGAAATTCTGTAAAAAAAATTCTCTATCTATTTCCCGATCGTTTTACGCTTTTTATTTTCACACAGCAGAGAGATAACGATCATCACGCGCGAATACGTGTAACGTTTATCTTTCTTTGCGCATAAACAAACGTCGTCCAACGCGTTAAAATTATGAGCTCACATTTGAGCCTATCTATGGATTCCTATGTAACACGTGGACTAGTTCAAATCCAAGGCATTAACTATCCCTTTTTCGAATAGTTTTTCTTTTTCTTTATATATATATATATATATTTTTTTTATTTTTTGCATTTGAAATTTCGTTCTTATCGTTGATCGCGCGCTTTTTACGATTTCAGATTAAAACTGTCGTAAAAGGGAAAATTTTTTTTTATAAAACGAAAGAACGGCGCGTTCTTGCGTTCTCGTGACCAATCATCGAAAGCAAGTCTTTTCTCTTGCTTCTTCATATTCTCCTAGAAAAAAGAAAGAAGAAAACTTTAAGATACTTTTTTTTTATCGCTGTTTCACGATGCGCGTTCTCCACTCGTCGATCATTCTCGTTCTCTGCCTGTTTCTCCACGTTTCTGTTCAAGAATGGCAGAAGGAGGCCGATGATGAGATTCAGGAACGAATAAATTTCTCCAAGTATACAATTGTTCCAAGTAAGTGCGACAGGTGGTACAATTATTAATTACTTGTCTACGAATATTTCTTCACTCCCGTTTATTATATATATATATACATATTTTTTCATTTGTTTCATAATGATGACAGAAACGAAGTGGTGCGGGCCAGGTAATAAAGCGAAAAACGAGAACGATTTGGGATATTTTAAGATAACCGACGCTTGCTGCAGAGACCACGATTTATGTGGCGATAGCATCAAACCTCTCGGATCTAAACATGGCTTGAGGAATTTGAGCCCTTTCGTCAGGTTCTCTCTCTCACACACGCACCTTCTTGATTTAATTCACGCATTTTCCCTTACTCTTTTCCAAGTTTTCTTCAACTTCCTTGATGTTTTCTGCTACGATCCTCGTCTTCAAATTACTTTTTTCCTCTTTTCCCTCGCGCACAATTTTATCATTGATGGCCTTCCAATGGAACGTGAACCGAATAACTCAATTTTTCAAAATGTTTTCCGCGATTTATATCGCTTGAATAATCATTCTTTCGCGAATCACGAATTTAACGTAATTCCTTCTCGCGATTTCTTTTACTTTTTCTTCGACAGAGTTGGAAATTTCATCATTCTACGTTTCTACGTTCCTTTATTCGAAGAATCTAAAACTCTAAGATGTTAGTTATTCGTCACGAATCATCGGGTGGTTGCATTTTATATTGAATATTGGTGAATGTTGAAGGATATTGAGCGAAGAAACTTGATTGACGAGAGGGGAATTTTTTAAACGATAAAATTTGTTGAACAGGTCAGAATGCTCGTGTGACAACAAGTTCTACAATTGTCTCAAGAATTCGTCAGAGTTTATCACTCCCATTATAGGCAACGGTTACTTCAATAACATACTGAATCAAAAGTGCTACAAATTGGAATATCCTGTCACCGGTTGCAAACTTTACACGAACGAGTAAGCGAGAAATTTAATATTTTAATAACGGATGGAATGTTCGTTTCGAATTTGAAGTTATTTCAATTTTCTTCTAACAATTTTTTCCCCGGTAGGAAAAACCGACGTTGCGTGGAGTATATTCTGGACAAGAAAAAGCCGAAGATTTACCAATGGTTCGATCTGCCTAACTTTTCCTAATTATTATCCAGTAAGAAATTGAATAGAGAGAGGGAAAATAGTGACAAAAATAGAGATGTAGTATAAGAAGATGAAAAGTATGAATAACAGGCAATAAATAAGAGTTTATTAGGATTGTAAGGTTTGTAACGATATCGTGATATTTGCCCTGAAAGATTTTTCTTAATAATTACTTTATTATTAAAATGTCACGCAATATAGATTTTTAATATTCAACAATGTAATATTCAATAAATTATCTTTCTTTATACATAAAATATTATAAAGTATAAAAGTTTTATACGTTAATTCGTGTGTGAAATCATTTTAAGTTAGCTAAGAAATTCACTAAGAATTTGTGGTGCTGCAAGAAGTGTAAAGTTAACACGTTCAACCCGGTTGCGTGTACAAGCAGGGTATTGCTTTCATCTGGTGGCGTGAACCTCTCGTGATCCCAGTTTTCTCCATGTGGCGGTGGTTCACATTTATAAACTAAACGCAAGCCTATAAAGAAGCAGTGGGTCGAATAAGTGAGCCGTCGGAAGAATAAACAACTTGTCATCACGTGCTCGTCACGTACAACATTGAAAAAGGATGTGCAAAGGATTGAACGTGTTAAGTACTTGCTTCGATTATTGGTTATATTTATATCGTGTAACATAGAATAACATTTTTTACTTGAAAAGAAATTTCAATCTATCAAATTTGTCTGCGGTATGAAAGTAAATTTCTTGTCGAAATTCGTGTGAATCTTGTTTAAAGTGATATCGATTCTTTGAAAATTAAGATCAAAAATTGCATGCGAATGATATCCAGGTATTTCGAAGAAAGATTTTCTTCATTTCTTCTTCGAATGTATAATTGAAAAATATTCTCGTAAAATAAATTTCTAACGATCATAGAAACAATCATCAATCGTCACATGTAACAGCCCCCCTAACGTTTAGATTCCAATTTTTTTTTTTTTTTCCTCTTGAGAAAGAAAAAGAAAAGAAGGATATCGAGAAATAATAAGAAATGCACGTTTACGCCGCGGTATTTATTTTAACATTCAACTGACAACAATATATATATGTACAGTTTTACGTATACGTAATATCAGTGTATATATATTCATTATATTTATATATAATTGTAACATTAGCTACCGTCCCCCGCACACCGTCCTTTTATGTCTTATTCATTATTGCGCAAGCTACATCGAAATTATGGTTGCCTTACGTTTGTGTCATCGATAAAACTCGAATAAACGCGAATCGTCGGTGAAATCTTCGCTTCGATCTCTTTCCAATAAATATCTTTTTTTTTTTCTTTCGATTCGCTTAAATCGCGTTTAAATCGCGGCTTAAGTATGGATGGAAATGACCTTCTCGTTCATACGCGTTCTGAACCGAATACAGGGCACAAAAATAATAATAAAAAAAAAGTAATAACAATAAAACGATATTCAAGTCAGAGTTGGTATGAAAATATGCGAAACTTAACGAACGAATACTATATCGATATTACATTCTTAGCTAATCTTTGATCAAACACGCGATCATTTCTAGATACGTTATTATTGATACGTTTCATCGATACTCTTTGTTCGCTCCACCGATGTGAAATATATTTTTCTTGATCCTCGAACGGATGGCAAGCGGAAAATTAACGTAGAAAGTGCGCTGAAGAATTCGTTTATTTTTTAAAAAAAATTTTTTCCTCCCTTAATTATTGTCCATTAATTATTGTCTTGTTAGGATGCAAGTAGATATTCGTTGCATTTTTATATATGCGTTTCAGTTAAACATCATTTATTATTAAGTTGGATAACTAAGCTGCGGATTTTTATGCGAATACATATTTTTCATATTATGAAGAAGAAATGTTTTTGATATTCTTCTTTGACGATTAAAAATTAAGCAAAGTATCTTTAAATGCGAGCAATCATTACGTGGTTCATCTTAAAAGTCGATTAAAAGCGTATTAACATTAAGAAAAAATTGAACCGTTATAATTGCAAAAGTAATGACTTCCGATCAACGAGTAAACGATCGTTAGAGGCGCGAAACCTTATCATTTAAAATATTTTTTGATTCATCTCGATACGACTTCCGGTTCCCAAGATATCATCGTGTAAAGAAAAGGATGTTTTTCAATCATTTGCCTTAAACTTGACTAAACCCTATTAAAATTAAGAAAAATTCGAATTGCAATATCTTCGAAGATAATCTCTTCCGGTTAATGAACCAACGATGATTAGAAACGTAAAACCTTATCATTTAAAACACTTTTTGATTCATCTCGATACGAGTTCCGGTTCCCAAGATATCATCATGCAAAGAGCAAGGTATTTTTCAATCATTTATCTTAAACCCGATTAAACCTTATTAAAATTAAGGAAACTTTGGATTGCTATAACTTGGAAGATAATTCCTTCCCATCAACGAGCAAACGATCGTTAGAAACGAGAAATCTTGCTCTTTAAAACTCTTTTTCGTTTATCTCGATACAACTTCCGGTTGCCAAGATATCATCGTGTAAAGAAGAGGATAATTTTTAATCGTTTATCTCCGTTACCGTCGAATCTCTCGCTCACACTTTCTCTTGCTAACCTATCCTAACCTCCAAACAAGTGGCAGATCGAATTGTTGGAAACCGTAGTATACGAATCGTGGAAGAATAATGAAAACTTTGAATGCTCGTGTCTCGGCAACCGACTCAGATATCGGGATAAAAGAAAAACGATTTAAATGATACGATCTCTTCTATTCTTCGACTATGTTTTACGTGTATAATATATTTTTCTTTGTTTCTATTCGGATAAAAATCCACCAGTATAGTCATTTACACTATACGTTCACGTTATAATTTAAATCGTTAAACGATTGTCAACTCGGTGCGTACCTTAATCGTTCGAGGCTCAAGAATAATTACGTTACGGGGAAACAAGAAACTTATATTCGAATGAATTTTATCCGAGATTTGTACGTTTCGCAGTTTGGGAGGGAAATGTTCACGAAACATACATGATAGTGAAAGAAACGTTTGTACTATTCATTGCAACGGCGATTCATCATGTTTCACGCGGCAACTCCTTGTCCCGCAAGTTATTGTCTGTTTTTTAAAAGACACTTCAACAATTATTTACAATCGAGCTACTGTATAATATAATACGGATAATTAATATAATATACGAGTACAATTAAATCACTAAATCGGGATTCGGGAGCAACATAATTAATCCTCAGTGTAACTGTTATTAAATCGATCTTACAAGGATCTTAACAAGTTATTATCAACGATATTTCCCTTTATAATATATTCACTTCGTATTAAATCACTCTTATATATAGTTTTATAGTTTAGCACCTTGTCGAGAATAAACAAGAGAAACGATCTACTGCGAATGTAAATATTCCTCCCCTTTAGTGTGAAACTAAACGCGTGTGCGATTCTATTGCGTGCGTATTTGTCGAAGACCAAGGAATTAATATCTTTTCTCTCGATGGTAAAACCTAGTTTTCCTCTACCTATGAATATTTTCATGTCCCCTTTTTTTTCTTTTTTCTTTTTTCCCTCTCGAATCTCGTTTTGTTGAATCATCCTCGCGAGATCTCGTGCGATTCGTTAAAAAGATTCGTTTAGAGTGACCATACCCCATAAAGCGCGCGTACAAAATAGAGAGATTCGAAGTACAAATAGACACGATTGGAGAGTATCTCGCTAATTGCTCTAATCTCTGCTAAGAAACGATTCCCCTTTTCGAAGGAATAGATCAATTACATTTCTCTCTTCTTTCTTGTGAATCTTCGTGACATTGCGCAACGTTCATCGCGAAGAATTTACATCGCGTTCAATGACACGTTCAAATATATACAAAAATCTATAAAATGCATATAATAGATGAGAGAAAGAGAGAGAAAAATATCTATAAAACAAACTACGTCATCACGATTGTTGAAAGTATGAGACAGATCTTTTTGTTCCAATTTCAAAGAAAAATTTGCATAAACACGGTATAAAGATTAAAGTGTTTTAATTTTTTTTTCTTCTTTCATTTTCTTTTACCTTTAATTTCAAATTCTTTCACAGTGTAAAATTTCTCTAAAAAATCCTCTTGTTTTCGCGATGTAAAATACGATTATATATATATATATATATATGTGTGTGTAAAATAAAAAAAAAAAAAAAAGAAAATAGACAAAGAAATGGAAGAACGAATAATAAAAA